CATTATGGACAAGAGCCAAGACATGGAAGCCACCTAAGTGTCCATCAGTAGACAAATGGATAGAGAAGACGTGCTACATATATACAAGGGAATGTTACTCAACTAAAAAAAGAGAATGAAATCTTGTCATCTGTGACAACACAGATGGACCTAAAGGATATTGTGCTGAGCGCGGTAAGTCAGACAGAGGAAGACAAACACTGTATGATTTCACTTATATGTGGAATCTAAAAGAACATAATAAACTAGCAAGCTTAGAGACAGAGACAATCAGACATGATGGTCACCAGATTAGAGGGGGTGCAGGGGATAAACAAAAAGGTGAAAGAGATTAGGAAATACAAATTGCCAGTTTTAAAAAGTCACGGTGATGTAAAGTTCAGCATAGGGACTACAGTCAGTAATACTGTAAAAACCATGTATGGTGTCACATGGGCACTAGACTTAGCAGGAAGATCACTTCATAATCAAATGTCTAATCACTATGTTGTACACCAAAACTAATATAATATTGAATGTCAGCTGTAATTAAAAAATAAATTTAATTTAAAAAATGTAGTTCATTGTGGCAGAGTTGGGAGATGGAGAAAACCCTGAAGACCTAAACCCTGACGAGGTGTCTCAGGGCGCAGAAGGCCCGCGTCTGTCCTTCTGGCCCTGGCCTGTCTTCCAGTGACAGGGGGTCGTACGGCGCCATGAGCCTCATGAGGCCCCAGTAAGGAAGTGCCGCACTTCAGCCATTCCAAACTAGGGGAAATCCATTCAACTTTTAAGATAACCAAGAGAAAAGAACCTGGAACCTTCCCTATTAACGGCTTCTCTCTTTTGACCTTCACTGTCAGGAAATTCTTCTTGGTCTTATTTAACTGTTCTTACTCAGGCTAAACCATATTTCCCTTTCTTGGTTTTCAAAATGCTCCCCTAAATATGAACTCAGATCAGGGAACACCAAAGAGTCGTGCAGTCAAGATTTGAAAAGCTCAGTTTACAAGAGCCAAGTGCTGGAAGCAACCTAAGAGCCCATCAATAAATGAGTGGATCAAAAAAACCATGGTACATTTACACAATGGGATACTACGCAGCAGAAAGAGCGAGCTACTACTACCCTTTGGACAGCATGGATGGAACTGGAGAGCATGATACTAAGCGAAATAAGCCCAGGGGGTGAGAGACAAATACCAGATGATCTCACCTATAAGTGGAACCTAATCAACAAAACAAGCAAGCAAGAAAAACATAACCAGCAACATTGAAAGAAAAAACAAACTGACAGTAATGAGAAGGGAGGAGGGTAATGGGAAAAAGAAGGGTAAGGGTCAAGTCAAGGAACATGCATAAAGGACCCACAGACAACGCCAGAGTGGGGAAGGACAGAGGGTGGGAGGTGCGGGTGGGTGGGGCAGGGGAAAGTGGTGGTTAGAAAATGGACATAAATGAACTTGAACAATAAAAAAAATACAATACTATACATTTTAAAAAGACCTGAAAAGCTCAATACAACGCACGCATGGCACCCTCTGGCCTGGCCATGGAGACCTCAGGAAGAAGCTGACTAAGAGGCAGACATGATGTGGCCTCTTATTTTGACACAGGCTTTTTAAGTACATCTCTAATTGTATGAAACAATTTTGGATGACAAAGCAAAAGACATTGTCTGTGGGTTGGATCAATGACCTAGGGTGATTTGTTACAGAATGCTCACATCATCACTCCAGCTGTCACTGAGTGGGACTGAAGGATTTAAAGAGTCACGTGGTAATGTCCTGGGTGTCAGGGGCCTGTCTGTGGATTTAGAGATGAGCCTTTCGCATATTCAATCTGAGTATGTGCACTCTTGACCTTCGCCCTTCTCCCCTTATAGATAATGTAGGATTTACACAGGGCAATCAGGGATTTGGAAGCACAGATTCCACTCACAAATCTCAAAGAGCTTTAGAAAAAGCATTACATTTGGGGATTGCGGCCGTTTTGCTCTATAACCCAGAGAAAGGAAATGAACCATCACAGTGATCAGCTCTACACCACTGCAGAAAATTAACTCCGGGCTGACTGGTTACCAGCATTCTCCTGGTGGGGAGAAGTTGTTAGTAGTTGATTCCGTTAGCTCAGTCTTTTCCTGCTTCTGGAGACCCGAGGTGCAGCCTTTGATGTGCCCTTGCCCAGCAGCAATGGAAAAACTGGGCCTCCCACCTCTGCTGCTACTTCTGGACGTCTGTCAGTCAGTCGCCCTCGTGTAAACCGTGTGCTTCTCCATGGAGACAAACAGTCCCTGGAAACCTGAAACCCCAAACCCGACTCTCCATCTTCTAAACTTGTCAGGTAAATGGGGAAATACTGAAAGCCATTCCTTAGTCTAAGGTTTGTGACAAATATTCTGAAATTGTTCAACAACAAAACCTTTAGCAATAACGAACCATATCACTTTGTGAATTCAAAATAACAAAGAGAAGGGTATGAAGTCAAAATATTTCACACTATTAAAAGTCTTCAGATGCGTCTACGAGCTCGAGTATAGGGATTCCCTTTAGAAATGATTCTTTCAAAAGAACATAATCCTGGACAACAAAACTTAGTAGAGGAGAAAGAAAAGTCATATACTTAAGTTGACTTTTGTCAAAGAGTTTTAACTTTATTTCCCAAAGTTTTGCAGAAGACTTTAGAACAGTTCCTTGTTTATTTATGTGTTTATTTACTTGACATGAAACTAAGTAAATCCCCTGCCAAACAATGGTTCTAAGGCAGAAGTCCTTAGGGTAAGTAACACCAGGGAGCCTTATGCTTTAATCATTCTTTTACTCAACAAGCATTTTTCCAGTGACATATGTGCCAGGCACTGGGCTGGGTGTATGAGATACAGAGATCAAGACATAGACCCAGCCCTCAGTTTGTTGGTGGCTCTGGCAAATGATGACAAGTCAACAGGCAATGACAGTGACTATGACAATGGGCTGAGACAGTGCTGTAAGAGGGAATCCCTTGATGGGGGCGGGGAACAGCCAAGACCCAGCTGCAGAGGCGCAGAGGGTAGAGCGAGGGAGAGCCTTAGGGGGAAAGGGTCTTCTAACCTGAGGCCCGAAAACTTAACAGAAACCAGCTAGGTACAGGGATGGGGGCGGGAAAGAGTGTTTTAGGGAAGAGGGAATAATACGTGAAATGTGTTCTAAAAAGGGATGGGAAGAGTATGAACTCTTGTTTGGCCTAATTCAATATTTCCTTGACTGTGAAGGGCTGAGGATGGCCTTTGCAAAACTGCACGATCCATAATAAAACATCTTTTCTGTGACTCATGTCCCTTTCAGATGCTTCCCTTCACACCTCCCCCGGGCAGGCTGGCCAAGAGACGGTAACTTCATTGTCACCTGAGGCCTCATTTCCTGTTTCAGAGGGTGGCTGCTATCTAGGCCTTCAAGCCTTGATATAACAAAAGCATCTAAGATGCAGCAGACCACTCACCTGTGCACCGCTCACACCGATTCTTACCAACTCAGAGCTCCAACTGCTGTTAGTTTCTGATCCTGCTAACTGAAGAGATCTTGCCTTTACAGTTCCCCTCTACCTACAGCCTCACACCCCAAGCCAGACCACCAGTTTGACTCTTCGTAAGACTGCAGGCCTTTCAATCGAGCCTAATAAGGACATAATCCAAAATGTGGGAGAACTTACACGCATGGATAAATTAATCACAGCATTTCTTTGTCACAGTGGAAAAATTATAAAACCATAACAACAAAAACTTTAAATGCACCCAGTTGGAAGAATGACTAGCTAATAATGGTATATCCATTTCTATGCAGCCATAAACAAAGATGATAATTTATAATAACTTGGAAAATGCTAGTGAAAGACAATGTTAAGTGGAAAAATAAAATATATAGCATTATACATACATTATGATCACAACCATGTAAGAAATATAAAATGAATATAAATATAATTATGAGGTACCCTGAAATGAGAATAGTAGTTGAATTAGTGTGCTGTGATTATGCGCTATTTCCTATTTTCTGTTTCCTACATTGGAATGCCTTTATAATTTAAATTCTATTAATAGTATTCACTTTTTAAATGAGCAATTAGAACATTCTGAAATCCAAGTTCCATGTACAGGGGAACACGAGAGTATATATGTGACTCTCATCATTGAACAGCAGCTGCTGTTCATCCCCCAGTGAATGAGCATGTGGGTGTCATTTCAACCAGCTGACTAACTATAGCTTCTTCATGGCAAAATGTGATGGATACAGAGCACTGCCCTAAATACTGGACAGACATCTACGAATATCACGCAAATACAGTTACAAACATTGGAGTTGAGCGACAGATTTGGAATTAAGTTCTTTAAATCAGGTTTGGAAACTTCATCATTCTTTAGAGCTCTGGATAAAACAATGGTTTTTTTCAGGAGTAAGCTGAGCAAGACTAGGGTCTATGATTCTAATTACTTTGTGGACTTTGCTGACATGGATGTGTTCTTAGTTTGGAGATAAATTGATCGATTTCTTCTGTGTCTGTTTCTCTAGATGTTCAACAGAGATGGGGTAAGGGCTTAACAGCTCTTAAGAGGGGACACAAAGCCAAGAGGTTGCTTCTCTTTCTTCATATCTATGAAAGCGTAAGTTGAAAATAATGAACTGTTTTCTAGACAACTAACCCAGTTTTAGCTGCAGCAAGAGTTATTTCGGTTACATTATAATTAACTTCTTCCAAGCACAAAGAATAGCTAATGGCAGTTGTGGAATTTCCTTTTCTAGGGATGTGCAACAATAGGTTGGATATACATCTGACCTTGAATGCCTTGGGAGTGGTATGCTAAGAAACAGAATGAACAAAAATAGCAATCACACACAAAAACACCAGGGTGTGCCCTAGTCTTCTCTCATAAATGTTAACAAATTGAGACTGATAAACAGTTTACATTCTTACCTACCCCTCAGCTGAATCAAAGTGTGAAGTGCATCAATCACAGAAGAAACTTACAAAGGTAGCCCAAAGTCATTTACCTGTACTAGGAGTTCCAGCTTCCTGTCATCAAGAAGATGTACTTGACATCGACGGCCCTCCGTCATCTGAGAATAAAGAGAAATGATGGTCACTGAGGGTCTAGCAACTTGACAAATGTTACAGGGCCCCCTGGGCTGGACCCCACCAGGTACATTCCTCTGGGTGAAACTTCCCCAGGGATGTGGTGCTATGTAACGCCAACAAGCAGCAGGGCTGGTTCATTCACTCAAAAATATTTCTGAGTACTTTCTATGTGCCAGGTGCTATTATGGGAGCTGGGTGTATAGCAGCACACAAAACAAGGTCCCTGCCCTCACGGAGCTTACATTCTTATGGGGGAGATGTAACATACGATAGCAAATACATCAAACACATACATAAACACAGCATCAGGTGGTGATAAGCTACTCAATCTTCTGTCATTCTTCCAAGCGATAACTTTATCACCAAGCGTTAGGAAGGGAGTTCAGTATCCGGCCCCTGCCATCTCTGAAGTTGTCCCTCTTTACTGATCACCAGGGAGCACATGACCACCCCTCTGGCCGCTGCACTTGATTTCTGGGTTACTTCTCCCCTCTCCTTGTTTATGACCCTAGCCCCACACTGTATGATAGAGGAACCCTGGAGACAAGCACTCACAGCTAAGCCTGATGCCCTAACCCTTGCGCCTTTCACGACTGACACCTCTGCCCAATGTAACAGAAAGAGCCCCCAGACAGGTACCAGGAGACCCAAGTTCAGCCGTGGCCCCACAAGTTCCTGGCTGCAGGGCTTTGGACAAGCCTCTGCTCGCCTCCACGCCCCAGTCTCACATATAAAAATGAAGGGGCTGGGCCCAGGGGCTGTTGGTGAATATTTAATAACTGTCTTTCTGAGTGAAAAAAAGCCTTAATTTGTAGCATTTGCTGGAACCCTGGCATTGCCCTCAATAAAAATCCCTTGGAGCACAAGGGACAATGTCAGCTGGCCAGCACTCTCACCGGGCACTGCCCGGCTGTGTTCCGAGCATCACCGTCGAGTCTGATGTCGGGCACTGTCATGACGACACTGGTAGCAGTCCCAACAGGTACAACAGACACAAGTAGCCCCGAGAGTGTAGACGACGGCAAAGCAGAGTAAAATAATTAGGCAGTGATTGATTTTGAGTATTTATTACCTTTTTTTTGGTATAATTTATTTAATGCTATGTTTACATAATTTCAATAATGGCTGCATTTTCCAACTGGCATGCAAAATTTCTGACAACATAACAATAACAATATAGCTGGTTCCAAAACCGCTCTCTGGACCAGAAGCCACATAAGGTTCCTTCTAGCCCTTGAATTCTCAGGTGACTCTGTAGGCCTCACGGAAGCCCTCCGCTTTTTCCCCAGCTACCCACAGCTTCATGACAGATCCTGGCCTCACCTATGTGCAAGGCCATCAGGGCCGGGGCCCTCCTCCCCAGCACTTTCTCCGTGAGACATGGAAAACATGGCCTCTTCCTGTTCAGGAGGACTTACTCTCAAACCATCGGCATGTCCACAGCCATCACGCATGCCCAGGAGAAAATTCTCAGAGTTCGTCCTCAAAACAAGCCAACCACTCATCCCTGCATCAAGTCAGACTTCCCTAGTGATGGGATCTGCTTGGAAAGGGCTAACGTGAAGAGTCTCTTGAATTTGAGGTATCATGACTCGGCAGTCCCCAGCTCTGAGAAAAGTCATCAAGGAAAGCTTCACATACCCAGAAGCACTCTAACAGAGGGTGAAATACAGTAAAAACTGAGGGAAAGCTTCAGTCCAAAGGCTTCTACTCTGCTCATCTAAGCCAAAGCAGGCAGCTATGGACTCGAGATGGGCCTATGCCAATATTTTAGTCACTCTCTGAAGTCTTAACTTCAAGTGTTAATTGTCTTCCCTACAAAACAGGCTCAGATTCCATAAGAATCCATCAGCCCTGCAAACAGTAGTCACCTGAGCTGAACGACTTCATTTAAAAATTCGTCAGCTTCAAAAAATAAACAAGCAGGACTACATCAAACTAAATAGCTTCTGCACAACAAAGGAAACCGGCAACAAAATGAAAAGGATACCCACCAAATGAGAGAGAATATTTGCAAATCATACATCTGATAAGGGGTTAATAACCACAATATAGGAAAAAATACAACTCAATAGCAAAGACCAAAAGAAAGAACCAATCCAATTAAAAATAGGCAGAGGATCTGAAGAGACACTTTTCCAATGAGGACATACAGATGGCCCACAGGGACATGAAAAGGTGCTCAACATCACTAATCATCAGGGAAAACAAATTAAAACCCTAATGAGATATCCCCCTCATACTTTCAGAATGACTATTACCATAAAGACAAGAAATAACCAGTGTTGGCAAAGATGTGGAGAAAAGGGAACACTTGTGCACTGTTGGCTGGATTGTAAATTGGTGCCGCCCCTATAAAAAACAGTATGGAAGTTCCTCAAAAATTTTTTTACAAAAACTACCATATCATCCCGCAATTCCATTTGTGGGTATTTATCTGAAGACGATGAAAACGCTAATTTGAAAAGATCTATGCACACCTATGTTCACTGTGGCATTACTTGCAATAGTCAAGCTATGGAAGTAATGGATGAGTGGATAAAGAAAATGTTGTATACATACATATACAATGGAATATTATTCAGCCATAAAAAAGAAAAGTTCTGCCATTTGGGACAACATGGATGGACCTTGAGGGCATTATGCTAAGTGGAATAAGTCAGACAGTAAAAGACAAATGCCACACGATCTCAGCTATATGTGGAATATGAAATAAAAACAAACGAACTCATGTACAGAGAATAAATTGGTAGGTGCCAAAAGTGAGGTTGGGGAGGCAGGGGAAATAGGTAAAGGTTGTCAAAAGGTACAAACTTCCAGTTATAAAATAAATAAGTCCTGGGAATGTAATGCACAGTATGGTGACTACAGTTGATAACGCTATGCTGCATAGACCTCAAGAGTTTTCATAAGAAAAACAATTTGTAACAATGTATGGTGATGGATGTTAACGAGACTTACCACGGTGATCAATTCACAATCTATACCAATATTGAATCACTTGTTGTACACATGAAGCTAATACAATGTTAAAGTCAATTATATCTCGATTTAAAAAAAAAGAAAACAAATTCAAAGTAAATAAATGACATCACTGCGGGAAGAAGAATCCATCAGCTTCATTTCAATCATTCCCCCATCCAAGTTCAATGAAAGATACTAAAATTTCAAATTAGACTAAAATATATACATCATACCAGAATGTATAAACAATTCTTTCATCAATAAAGGACACCAAAAATGTTCAAGTTTCAACAGGGCAGTTGACAGTAATGGCACAGGCACCTTGAATAGATTTTAGATAGTCAGCAATTCATTCTTATTATAGAAAGAACCTAATTCTAATAAAGTAAATGTTCTAGGAAGGCAAGTGCTATGACCATCCAAAATTTTATTTTAAAATTCCTTTAAGAACATTTATTTCAGGTCTGAAAAAATTCTCTAATCAGTGGGGACAGAGGAAAATTTAAGAAAGAAATTCTGCTTGTCCTTTGCATCTTTAAAACTCAGTTTTGAGCTTCACTGTATTGTAAAAGGTTAAGGAAATAAACATGTTCTTGAGTTCCTTATTCACATCCTAATACATCCTAATACATAAAAACAAAGGAATATTGGCATCTGAAAAACATCACTGTACCAAAGTTTGAATCACCGTAATAAGAGGTAGTATATCACTTCCTCAAAATATTTCAAAACATGCCAAGTGTGACATGACACTCAGTTTACACCTGTGTCTAAGTTTTCTCTGAGGTTATTGGAAATCAATAATTCTCATTACATTAATCTCATCTCATCTCCTCAGTACTTTAGGGAAGTAACATGCACTGAGATTTTAATATCCACCCAAAGTGTTACAAGTTTACTCCTCTCTTCAACAAAGCCTCAAAGCTAAGTCCTGGGGAATTTATAAGCATGCTCCTTATTTGAATTGGGAGTTTATAAGCTGCCTCCCTTTTGGAAGGCAGTATGTTTCTTTAAAGAGTCAGCCCAGAAACGTGAGTCTAAACAGAAACTCAACTTTGAATTATCATGTGTTTGAAAGTATGACTTTCTTTTGACAGCGCTGCTTTAGTTTTTCCGCAGAAGAAGGACCCGTTTGTTTTTTCATACTGAAGTAAATGGGAGTATCCTGTTATCAGTTCAGAAAAGGTTTACCATTCTGGGTGTGTGCGGAGAAAGCGTGGACATCTGTAGCTCTGTCTGGCTTCCAGGCATTCTGAAATTTCCTCTGGAATACTAACAACTGTAAAGTAATATTGCTTCCCTTGTTTTCCTTTTCAGCTGCTCAGGCACAATTGGAGCACTGGCATCACCTCCAAGGAAAGCCTTTCGGAGAACAAGGCTTCTCGTTGATGTCAGCCAGCCGGCTACCACTCCAACCATAATTTGTCTTGCTACAATGCAATCCTATACCAAGCAGAGGCCTGCCAAGAGCACTGTGATTCTAAAGAATGTATAGCAAAGTGTGATTTCGAAGGTAAGGTGTCTACCCCATTTATCCAACTTTTCTGTTAAGATATACAATGAATCACAAGGACTATGCAAAACATGGATTTATGGTGCTAGCTTAAGTGAGCACAGCAGAATATGAAATGATATGTGAACTATAAAGTCAGCCAAAATAATGGTGCAGAAGAACAGGAGTTCAGAAGCACAGATAAAATAGTTGATGTACTAGGGTAGCAGGCTTATGGGTGGTTCCCCCCACCCCACCCAAATATTACACAAAATGTTGTGGGGGGGGTTTCAGTTAGCATAATGTAATAAAGAAAACTGATGGAGAAAAATGAATGAGAGTGTTTGAAGTCAGCCATAGGAAATGGTGCCTGAGAAGCTTCTTTCTCAGCAAATTCATTTTAGATGGCTATGTTTTTAACATATTAAATCAAATTAATTACGTTACAAATGAGAATTACAATTGTCACATAGGTCAGAAATCTGAAGATTGAAAGTCTGACACATTCTCTCCCTGCAGGCAGAATTAATAGGCAGTCAACTGTGACCAGAGTGGTTCGGTAACACAGACTCTCAAAGGGGGAATTATAACCATGTCCGTTTGAGGGCATCCGTCTATAGTAGCTGGATTTATTCCTGGTGGTGGAAGGCACCACTGTCCAAATGTAGCAGGGGAGTCCCCCGCTCAGGCCATGACTAAAAAACAAACAACTAACAAGCAATGACAACACCCCAAATGGTGCTTTACATGGAAAACTCAACATGTGAAAATATGCTTTAAGAATATTTTCTCTTCAAATTCAAAATTCAGTATCAGTATATGCGTTTTATTATTGCTTTTTTCCTGTAAATACCACCTCTCTCTTTCTCCTTCTGCCACTTCTTTGCTGTCTTCTCTCTCTTCTCTTTCCCCCCGCCAAGTAATTTATACACGATGGCATATGCATGTGGAGGAAGTGCTCTGAGGAAATAGCCCTAGTGCCACTGTTCAACATTTTCATAGAGATCTAATGCAGTTGTGTGAATGACTACCGGGTAACAGATCCTGAAAAAACATGTGTTTATTAAAACAAAAGCTAAAACGATTCAATTAGCACATGTTATCATTGTATTTCCTCATGCTAATTTGTACTGAAATTGTTATCACTAAGACGCAGGGGAGTGGGGAGAGGAAGGGGTGGGCAGGGGGAGCAGAGCTGCTGAGAAGCATGTTCCCAGCCCTGCAAGAAGCATTTTTTCACCCAGTTACCATATGCCTCCTTGTTTATGTCCCTGTGCATTGTAAGTTACCAAGCTGTGATTCATATTCATTTTATTTATTTATTTTTATTTAATTTATTTTATTTTTTCAAATACATTTGTCTCTGCCTTCCCCCCACCAACTTCCCTTGCCCCTCCGCCCCCTCCCTCAATCCTTCCCCTTTGGTTTTGTCCATGAGACCTTCCTACACGTTCCCCAACCCTCCCATTCCCTTCCTTTTCCCCCATCCCCCACTCCCTCCATCTCTCTTGTCTCTGTTCGTTTCTTTTCCTTTCAGTAGAGACAATACCTTTATAAGACAATAACACAGAAATATTAAAGATGACGCCAAATTGTATAAAAGGAAAAACTAACATTTCCCAATCATACTTCATTGAGAAAAAGTATCCATGTTCCCCAAAATAACCTGAAATCTTATTTTTTAATATTTATTTTTAGAGAGAAGGGAAGGGAGGGAGAAAGAGAGAGAGAGAGAAACATCAATGCCAGAGAGAGACATTGATCCGCTAGCTATCCTTCGCACACACCTAGACTGGGGACCAAAACCGCAATCCAGGCATGGGCCCTGACTGGGAATCGAACCAGCAACCCTTCGTCCTGCAGTACAACTCCCAACAAACTGAGCCACACCATTTAGGGCTGAAATCTTATCTTTTACAATTTTACCATCCAGTAGAAAATTTGCATCTCAAAAGCATGCTAGTAAAGGCCCAAACACAAGAGATGTAAGTCTTCCAGCAGGCCTTCCGTCAGCACGGCCCTAAGACACGGAACATCGGAGGAATCCGGATGTCCTACAAGCAGCACAGCACAATCGCCCCTTGACCCAGGCCATTTGGAGGCTCAGAAGGAAATTCCAGAGACAT